AACAACAAAAAAAAAACTTCATGGGTTATAAAGTCCTTAACATTCCAGACAAATTAGGCTTACAGTGATTGACTCTTGAGACACAGTCTCACAGAAAGCACGAGCCATGCTCACTAATAAAATATCCTTCAGTGTCACCAGCAACAAAGCCAACATTGGGCTGGGGAGACAACTGGTCTGCCTAGTGTAGAGGTCTCCATCTTGACAAAAAGTTGGCTTTTCAAATTCATTATTCTTAGTCTGAAGTCAGATGTAGCTCACGTTATGTTGGTTACATGGGAGATCTAGAGGTGGGGCAATAGTGGTTCTGAAAGCCAAAGTTGCAACTGAAATCACTCACCCGTTGCTTACCTCCTGCTGTGCAGCCTCGTTCCTAACAGGCCATAGACCGGTACCAGTCTGTGGCCCAGGGATTGGGGACTGCAGCTTTAAACTAATGAAGGCTCTGTTCAAACAAAAAACTACCACCAAAGGAAGTAAGCACTAAAACCTTAAGTATAACAAAGTCTAAGTACAAACTGATTTCCATTATAAAAACTTCAACTGTCAATAGTTTTAACATTAGGAAACCTCACAGGAAACAAAATCACCACTGTATTCTTTGACAAGAGAGCCCTCAAAACAGTCACTGCTGAAGCAAACTAAGAACAGACTTGGGTTCCAAGGTTACCCTCTTTGGATGAACATTTTCAGCTTTGCTGAGGAGGCAGGGAAGTACTGGCCACTTCCCTGGCAGCCTAACACCAAGGAGAATATTCCAAGTGGCTGTTAAATCCAATGTCAGGCCATTTTTACTGAACAAACACCTGTGTTCTCTACCCTCTAGTGGTCTAACACTGCTGACAAGGAAGGGCACTAAAGGTTCCAGAACCTTCAGAAAACAAAGTTCTTGGCCGGGCGCGGTGGCTCACGCCTGTAATCCTAGCACTCTGGGAGGCCGAGGCAGGCGAATCGTTTGAGCTCAGGAGTTCGAGACCAGCCTGAGCAAGAGCGAGACCTTGTCTCTACCAAAAAAACAGAAAGAAACTAGCTGGACAACTAAAAATATATAGAAAAAATTAGCCGGGCATGGTGGCGCATGCCTGTAGTCCCAGCTACTCGGGAGGCTGAGGCAGAAGGATTGCTTGAGCCCAGGAGTTTGAGGTTGCTGTGAGCTAGGCTGACGCCACAGCACTCATTCTAGCCCGGGCAACAAAGTGAGACTCTGTCTCAAAAAAAAAAGAAAAAAAGAAAAGAAAACAAAGTTCTTCTACTGAGACAAATTACACTACCTTCCCTCCAGTTGCTACCTTACTGTTCCAAATTTACTAACCAATACTACATTTGCAGCCACGTGCAGTAGCTCACGCCTGTAATCCTAGCACTTCGGGAGGCCAAGGCAGGAAAATCTTTTGAAGCCTGTCTGAGCAGCACAATAAGACTGCGTCTCTACCAAAAAAAAAAAAAAAAAAATTTAGCCGAGGCATGGTGGCACCCACCTATAGTCCCAGCTACTCAGGAGGCTGTAGCAGGAGGATTGCTTGAGCCCAGGAGTTTGAAGTTGCAGTGAGCTGTGATGACACCGCTGCATTCTAACCCAGGCAATAGAGCAAGATCCTCTCAAAAACAAACAAAAAGACCCTACATTTTCTCTTAAGCCTCAATAAAATAAACAACCACTTCCATTCTTCCTTGACCCACTCCTTACTCATGACAGGAGATGGTCTGAGCAAAAACCGGGACCTGGAGAAGCCCTTAGCAGGCTGAGGATTACAACTACTTTTATCTTTCTGCTATATTGTAAAGAACTAAACTCATTCCATTTCAATTTATCACAAAACACAAACTCCACAGAACTATCAGTTCAACTCTCCCTCACCTCCGTGTATCCCATGAGAGCAACGCTCAACCTTTATCCCCAATCCTCACCCTAACTGACCTTCAGTAGCCTCCGACATCTGGTCATTCACACCTTTGCGAAGCACTTTCTTCCCACGCACACGGGCCTCCTCAGTCTCCTCCTCGCTCTCAGCCTTTTCTCAAAGTCTCTTTGCTGCGCGGCCCCGGCTCAATCCCATACACTGGAGTGACCCTGTTCAGTCTACGGTTTCTCATTACTCATGTGATTCCAGAGCCTCTTGCCTCCCTCTCCCCTCCTCCACACCAGTCGACATGCCAGCAGCATTTCTGGTCCCTCTGCTCTCTCCTCCATCCACAGCACTGGATCCCCAACTTCACACATTCTTCTTACCATTCAGGTCTCTGCTCATATGTCCCTGAGGTGTAGGAAGACATTTGAGCAGAGACCTGAATGAAACAAACTGACCTGAATGCAAGGACTCCATCCTTGTGCCAAAGTCGTCAGGAAGTAAAAGGCTGAGCACCACAAGACCATTAGCTCCACATATACGTGTGGGCAATGAGATTCCAAAACCCATCAGAAATCGCTCATTATCTGCTCATCTACTTACTTACTGTCCATCTTCTTCCCCAACTATATAAAAGACTTTATTACTGACATAGTATCCCTAGTGCCTGGCACAGAGCAGGTGTCCAACCTATACCTAACAATAAACACTTGTGGAAAATGTCCTCATTCTGATTCTTCTTCTCACCACTGTTCCACAACAATGCTACACAGGGTGCTAAGGAAAACATGGCTGAAATCGTCACTAGAGTGTACATTTATCTGCTCCCTCTGACTTCTTCCACTAAGGATTTACCAAACATTCCAGGTTGTGCATTCCACCCAACTACCCTACAGCTAAACTGCTTTTGACTAGTGGATGTCATTAATCCACACTGATTGCCATACTCACAACAATCTACAGCAAACGGTTTTCCTACACCAGGTCAAATAGCAGGCAACACCCCAAGGAGCCTCTGCACAAGGTTTGGCGTTCATTTTGTATTTGCTGTCAGAAAAGCCAACTTGAGATTTAATACATCTGAGTGGCTTTCCAGAAGATGTCCCCTCAATGGTAATAATAAAAGCAATGATTAATCATGAAGAAAACGTTCCCTAGTCCATGGACATTTCACCCTTAAAATGAGTGGACAGTTTTTATGTCCTGCAACACCTAAAATGGTGGTGATCTTCATGACTCCCTTTCTCCAGGTGGCTCAATCACTGCAGATAATCCTCCACTCTTTAATCTTCTTAAATTCTATCTAATCTTGAATAAATGCACATTCCACAAAAGTAGCCATTTATCTGTTTTGTTCATCTGAAGTGGACTTAAAATAAAATTTTACAGGTCTATATTCATTGGATAGTGTGTTATTTCTTGAAACAGTGGGATAATACAAAACTACAAAACCAATGTTATCTTCAACTTATTTTTTAAAAATCAAAGAATCTGGGGAAGAGAATGTACCCTGCTTGGTCAAAAATCTTGGTAACATTCACCTTGAAATCAAGCAAACTCACTCAGAATCTTCAAAGAACTACAGGCTGACCTAAAGCATACCTTTTGCTATAGCTATATTAGAATTCTTGCATTACCTAGCTGTGATATCTCAATATAAATGACTTTACAAAAATCTGATAACTTTACAGACAGAATTTTATAGCAGTGAAATTCGTTCCATAATATAAAATCCCACGAAACCATCAAAATCTATAATCTGAAGGGCATCAGGGATTTTTGCCTATTAAAGGAAGACAGGTTCAACCCGAAAAACCTTCACAGCCTACATGCCACCCATGTTGGAGTGTTCCATGAATTCCCCAAAATGCACCTACCGTCCCAGCCAGGATGTCATGAGGGCAGCAGTCCAGAAGGTGACTCTTGCAGACACGGTCATCTGTAAACTTGACCCTCTGTCTGGTTTCGTCTCCTGAAATTCATTTGTGGTTTTAAATAAGACAATATTATCATGTAAACCACAAAAGGTTATCTGGTACAACAATTCATCTGAATGATTTGCAGGCTATCATTTCTGTGTTCTCCCCATCAAATACAATGAAATGCTGACCTAAAGATATTTACAACTGGCGTGGAATACACTTTTGTGGCTAAGTATATCATGAAGAATCACACTTAATGAGATCTGACTCCATCATTGTGCCAAAGAAGTCAGGAAGTCAGAAGTAAAAGGCTGAGCACTCAGAGGTCATGAGCCCCACATCTACACGTGGGCATTGAGGTTCCAAAGACCCATGCCAATAAGAGGGCCACGAATAACCACATATGACTTACATAGCAGGTAATTTCCACCAACAAAAGCTACTGATTAATCTTTTTGTATGGACAGATGCATAGGATAGGCAGTGTTTTGCCCAAAATTACATGAAGAAGGCTTTCTAACTTTACCGATGACTATTAAATAATCTAGACCTATTCTTCCTATCCCCCTTGCAGCCCCACCCTTAACAAAGAGAGTTGGCACCTGGGAGTCACTTTTAACAAGACAATACCAAAAAAAAGCAAAAAAGGAACTAGGTTAGTCAATACACACTGTGAGTTCCAACACATACTGTACCCATCTGCATTCTTCAAGACCTCAGCTGCAGAATTTTATGCCCGCTGTTGAAAAGTTTTAAAGGAAAAGTTTTCTTGCCCACACCTGCAGTAAGGAAGTCAGGGGGAATGATACATAAAAGTAAAGGCAAAGTGGTATGTGACAAATTTTAAAGGTAAGCTGTGTATATGACACAGAGCTGTGTAATACTAAAGGAGGAATATATTTTAGGATTTGCAAGCATCCAGGATTAATGTAGTGTCTTTTTATTGAAAATGTTTTCTTTCTAAACTACACTTTTAAAGTTACTTGTGAAAAAAAGCAAACACTTTTTTGTTATAACAGCTTAGAAATTGGTTGTGACTCACGGCTCGATGAACATGAGGCTTTTCTGCAACTCCCTTGCAGATTGATGTAGGCAGGCAAAGATACACTGAACCTTTATAAATAAAATAGAGGGGCCACAATTGTTCAGTTTGTATGAAATAAAAATATGGGAAGCAATTCAAAAGCAACTCAATATACAAAGAAAGCTAAAAAGCACTTATTCACCTATGAAATAAAGTGCAAAGAATCTGCACAGCCCTGCGAATGTGCCAGTGTGAACTTACAACTTCATTACTTCGGTAGAAAAGAAAACACAAATCACAGCAGGTATATAGGTTTGCAAAGATGCAACCGCTTTCTCCGAGACAACCGTCACGGTTTTGCACTCCTCCCTACAGTACAACCTACCTACCGACTGCCAAGCGCTGGCTAAACAGAGGCTCTCCTGTGTGGCAGGGGGAGGGGGAGGCTGGAGAAATACTCGGCAGGAACCCACGTTAGCAAAGCTCAATTTACGGCTCCCCTTGCAATGGTACAGAACAACAACGGCCCGGGCCTCGAGGCCCCTCCGGCTCCCGCGGGTGTAGCTTCTTCCCCGAGGAGCCTCGGCGAGTTCCGCCACCCGGCTGCCAGCGACCTGGCAGCCTACGCTGGTTCCAGTCCCCAGTGTGCGGAGGGGCGCCGGCTGGGGAGGAAGCCGCAGGACGGTAAATGGGAGCCCCACTGGCGGTGCGGACTCCGAGGGAGGAGCCCGCCCGGGACCCACGGATGGCCAGGAAAAAGCCCGGCCGCGGCCGCCTCGGAGGCGAACCGCCTTAGACAAAGGCCCGGCGCCCGCGGTCGGCGTGCGGGGGAGGGGGAGCGGCGCCCCGCGCAGGCGCAGACGATCGCGGCCCCCGCCTCAGGCCGCCCGGCGACCTCGCCTCACTCCCGCCCCAGCCCCTCGCCTGGCCGGCCGTCCTGACTCACCGTCCCGGGCCGTGCCCATGAGCTGGTCCAGCAGGGCCCGCATCTGCGCCTGGGCGGACATAATGGCCGGTGGGGGCGGCGGGGGGCGACCGCGACGGCTCCTCAGGGGGCGGCGGCGGCGGCGGCGGCGGCGGCGGCGTGACGGCGGCAACGAAAGATGGTCGCGTCGGCCTCCAGCCTGCTCGGCTCTTTTCCGCCGCGGGGGTTGCCGGGAGGAAGTACGTTGAGCCGGCGCACGGCCTGCTGGGAAATGTAGTTTCCAGGGTGGGGCTCAGAACAGAGGCTGAGGTTCCAAGTGGTTCCTGTGCGTTGCCCAAGGGGCGGAGCCAAAACCCCAACCCTGATTTTTTTTTTTTTTTTTTTTTGAGACAGAGTCTCACTGTGTTGCCTGGGATAGAGTGCCGTGGCGTCATCTTAGCTCACAGCAACCTCAGACTCCTGGGCTCAAGCAATCCTCCTGCCTCAGCCTCCTGAGTAGCTGGGACGACAGGCATGCGCCACCATGCCCGGCTAGGTTTTTCTACATATTTTTAGTTGTCCAATTAATTTCTTTCTATTTTTTAGTGGAGACGGGGTCTCGCTCTTGCTCAGGCTGGTTTCGAACTCCTGAGCTCAAACAATCCGCCCGCCTCGGCCTCCCAGAGAGCTAGGATTACAGGCGTGAGCCACCGCGCGCGGTCCCAACGCTGATTTTGCTCCGGACTCGAAGACCTCAAACTCTGTTCTCTACTGAGGCTGAACTGCGATAAAATAAAACATAGTCAATCTAAAACAAGAGAATGTAGCCCGTGCTTTTCTGGCTAACCATGAAACTGCGAGCATATTGTTTAGCTACCCTGACGCTCTGCGTTTTTCTTCCGTGAAATGGGAATTCTAAAGGTGCCTCTCACATTATTTATGTGAAAATTAAAGCAAGCAGGGAACTGATGTTCGGTTCTATGATTACTACTTCGTGGTAGTCACTGTCAGCTGACAGCCTGCCAGCCAGAGGTTAAAAGGAGACATACATGTAGGCAATTACAGTATGTTGCAGTAGGATCACAGTACGCATCCGTGTATAGTCCCGCATATACTTCTGTATTAAATGTTCATTACTGATGTTGGTTTGTCCGGTTAAATCATAGTCCAGGCTCCCTTCATCTTTTACCTGGAGACAGCAACAGCCACTTCCTATGGGGTCTTCTCGCCTCCATTCTCAGTCTCCTCCCCCAAGCACACACTAAATGTCTCCACGAAGCAGTACATGTGTAAATTCCATTATGTGATAACTTCCCGTTGCACTTACAATAAATTTCAAACTCCTTTCCATAGCCTATTAGGCCTGAGAGACTTAGCCCCCCTGGGACCTTACCTCATATGGGTTCCATGCTTATATTGCCTCTCGATACCGTGGTCTTTAATGCCCTTTCTGGTGTTGAAACATTTTGTGGCATGGAGACTGAAAGCTTAAAGAGAGGGCATTTCAGGACCTGAAACAGCATGACACCATTCTCTTCATTTCCTCACCCTCCACAGAGACTCATAATAACACTTAATATTTGAATTTCAACCCACACACACACACACATACACATACATATACACACACAGAGCAAGAGCACATACTCATGTGCTTTTACCTATGTCCTCTCATTTTTATTATTCTCCTTGAAATAACCCTTTGAGGAGAGAAAGGTAGGTCTTAATTTATGTCCCTCCTTTATGGGTGCAGTATTTGCTCCTTACTTTATGAGGTAAGGAAGGATTAAGTAACTAACTGGCCAAAGGTCACAGAGCTGGTCAATGACTGAGACAAGGGTGGGGCTCAGGCACCGTCCCCATTCTGCCCTGAGGTGCTCAGGGCATCTCATCCACAGATTATTTCTAGTTCCTGCAAATAATCTAGGCACAAATGCAAGAATAGTAATTCTTGCCGCCAAGACCAAACAATCAAAAGTTCCTGGCTGAAGGAAAGGATATCCAATCCGGGAGCTGACTGACACTCTTTTACTTCTCAATTCCAACCATAAATAGATTGCAGCATCTGAGGGAAAACATGATGGCAGGGAGCTGACTTTTGTAGGGTGTGGGTATAACAACATAGGACTGCTTGTAATTATAAAAAGAACAAAGCATTTTCACAAATGATAATTTAATATTATCACTGCCCCAGAGAGGAAAAAACAGACTTTCTCTGTAAGAATCCAAGAGTGTGTTCATGGTCTAGAAGCATCCAAACTCCAGACACTCTAAGTCAAGTTATATATTTTTAATTTTTTTTGAAAGACAGTATCTCTTAGACTTCTCACGTCTAAGAGTATAGTCACAGACATGAAAGGCATTCATTGCTAAATAGTTTAAATAGCAAAAAATGGAGGAAAAACAAAAATGATAATAGCAGAATGATTAATTAAAAAGCAGTATATTTGCCTTATGACATAATGTGCAGCTATTTAAAAATATCCTCCAGGCTCCTTGAAGAAATGGCTGTTTTGATTCTAGGACTGGGGCAAGAAATATAGAAAATGAACGTGGAAGATCTTGTAGTGCCATAAAATAAGAAAGTACTGAAGAGCAAAAACAAAACCAACAAATGAAAAACCCCACAATGATGGGGATAGGTTGAAGGGAAACAACAGGCAACTGAAAGAGCTGCTAATGCCCGAAGCTGGAACAATTTGAGCAACAAAATACAGTAATATCAAAGCATGAAATAAACATCCATGAGTCCATACTGATATCAGTGAGTGAATAACTGAGTAAATAAGGAACAGACAAATCTCCCATGAAGAAATATATCAAATAATTTTTTAATTTTTCGTTCTGTTCTTCTTATTGGATAATTTCTATTTAACTATGTTCAAGTTTGCTGATTCTTCCTTCTACCACCTTAGATCTGTTGAGCCCCTCTAGTGATTTCTTTCATTTTAGTCATTATATTTTTCAACTC